TCTGTCTAAAAAGTATCGGCAATCCTTGGCAGAAACCGATATAGAATCGCAGATACAATACCGACAATGGCGATACATCTTTGATGACGACCCTGTTGTATGTGTATGCTGATGATGGAGATGATGATGGAGAAGATGACGATGAAGAGGATGATGATGATGATGATGATAATTATTATTATTGTTATTTTTTCAGTTACTGTCATCATCATCATTTTCTTCATCGTCATCTTCTCCATCGTCATCTCCATCATCATCTACATCATCATCATGAGAATGATGTCATCATCTCTTCGTCAAATTCATTATCCTCATAGCCATCGCTATCATAACCACCATAATTGTCGTCATCATCATCATCATCACCGTCGTCATCATCGTCATCATCTTTATGGTCACGTGACATACATCAGCATGTATAATGACGTAATGCTCATATGACCGGTGGAGGATGACAGCATTATGTAAACAGCAACAAATCATCCTCTATATACAATATACATACAAAACGATACAAAACAATACATACATACATACCTATACACACACACACACACACACACACACACACACACACACACACACACACACACACACATGCATACACATATACAAGAATTTGTTTGCCAATGTTATCGACGCTGCATTGTTTGTTTAAAATAATTTTTAAGTCTTTCTGTTTGCTCTAAGATTGAAATGTTTGTTTTTCGTTATGTTTGATTTTGTTTTGTTTGCTTTATTTTGAAACTTGTTTTGTTATTTTGTATTTTTGGCTGGTGTTTTATGCAAGAGTGTCAAGTTTTATTAGATTATTCAAAATAATTTTTAATGCTCTTTGAAGATTTTAATTGCCCGACAGAGTTTTGTCATTCTTAGTAAGATAGTTGTTATTAGGAAAAATATAAATCAGAGTTTCTTTTTTTCAGCTTTAATCGCCATCATCGCTATCAACAACGTTGTTATCATCTACAACATAATCATTTTTTTTTACAAATTATAATCGTTAAACCAATGAAAATATATTTAGACCCGTCCATCCCTTTGACGTCATCAATGTCGTCATCAACGGCCTCCACCAATCCTGGTTTGGTGCTCACGCCGACCGATGCAGCAGCAGCAGCAGCCCTGGAGCTGCTGTCACTGTCGCCACCGTCAACTTCTTTGCCGNCTCAGTCTTTCCTAACGAAATCAGCGCCAACGTCATCGTCTTCGTCGTCATCATTTCAACCACCATCGTCGTCGTTGTCGTCGTCATCACCTCTGAACGTTAATACGATGCCATTGCAACCAGCTACAACAACGACATCGTTTTCTAATTTGTCCTACGAACACTCGTCACAGCAGCCACAGCAGCCACAGCAGCCACTACAACTACCACAACAACTACCACAACAACGTTTCAAACAAAAAATCAAACAACAAAAACAGTTTGACAGTTCAGACGGTTTACTTCCAGACGACAACAAACACGGCACCAACAACGACGACGACGACGACGACTGCGATGAACACTCCGGAAAAGCTCAAATGCTTGCCGGAAGTGTCGCTACAGAAAATCAAAATGGCGGCAATAGTGGTGGGGCTGGAGAGAATATTGGGATTAATGGTGGGAGTGTATTCACCAGGAGAAAATCCAAGTAAATCATTTTTAAAACCCATGACCCGGAATATGGTTCAATATAATTTTGAAATAATATTTTGCGTTATTTTTATAAAAATCATTATTTTTATCAAATTTAACAACCATCGCCATCATTCTCATCATTATTATCATCATCATTATCATCATCCTCATCATCATTATCATCTTCTTTATCATCATCATCATCTACACAAAGGTGGTCCAAATTAAAAGCAACAGTAAAGGTTGCAAGTGCCATGTCGTCCGGAGCTTCCAAAGTCAGGGTCAAAGGTCAGTCGTGGAGGTCAGGCGGGGGTCATCTGACCAGGGAAGACTCCTTCATGAAAAAGTTTTCCACTAGACAGGTGAGTAGTAAAATACTGTTGTAATTATTACTATTATTATTGTTGTTGTTGTTATAATTATTGCTATTTTTAATTACTTTTATACATAGGATATTCTTAATGGTAAATATAGTGTCGTTAGTTCAATTCTTACTGTTTAAACACACATTGACTTTTTGCTTAATTAATTTTTTTTGCTAGAAATTATTTTAACTTCATAATTTTAAATAAACATTTCAACTCAAAAAATTGAAAAACCAAAAACGTGATGTATATGAGTATAAGTTATATCACACGAAAAACATTAGCAGCACACAGACAGACGTGTTATATTTTAAAAATCCTCTTGGCATTCAAACTTGGTAGCCACGCAATGATGTGAGTTAGGCGAACTAAAGAGACATTACTTTATTTCTCCCTCTGCCAACTTTAATCTAGTGACATTCAGCAGCAGCAGCAGCAGCAGTAGTAGCAGTAGTTGAAGTTTCAAAACTAGCTGTAGTAATACTAATATTAATTTGTAGCTTGTTTCAGCATAACCCTTGTTAAAATTGTACCAGTGTAAAAACTAACTATTAGTAATTTTTGAAGCAGTGAAAGTAGTAATTGATTTTTTGCTAGAGTAGTAAAAAGTGGCAGTAGTTTGTACTACAACTACTGCTACTACTGTTACTACTACAACTATTAGTATTTGTAGTAGTAGTAATAGTAGTGGTAGTAGCAGCAGCAGCAGCAGCAGTAGTTTATTGGAATGGTTGGTTCCAGCGTTGTTAATAGTAAAACATCAATCCTAATAAAAATAACTATACATCACATCGATATTAATAAATTTAAAAACCGACACCAAGTCCTGACGTGTATTATGACGTAATGATGACGAAGCGTTCACGCATTAGCGCGGCTCAGTGGCTTGCTTCTCTACGGCTGATTGATCTACTATGATTGACTACACGGCATAATGCTGCTACTGCCATATGTTTTTAAAACTTATTCGATCGCTATC